TGTCACCGGATGTACGATTAATTTAAATTTTTCAAGATCATAGTTGCCATATTTGTTATTATTTGCACTGACGTGTTTCCGCTTGTCTTTGAGAGTTTTTCTACGGGGGTCTTTTAGAAAACATTTTCTCGCTAAAACGTGATGAGGGAAGCCATTTTTAAATTAGTTATTTTAGTACAAAGTCAAAAAGGATAGCGTTTTCAAATGTCCTTTAATGGAAAGGACACATCTTTATTTAGCTTTGTTAATCCTTGAGACACGGTGGAGTAATGGCTTGCATCTTGTATTGTGGAAGTGGAGAGACGAGTTCGAATTCCCGTCGAATTTATTACATTCACTTACGTTTTAATACTAATAATACCCTTGGGAAAGTATACGAATCCATATCTTCCCTCAAGCTATGGGTAAAATAGCAGGATAGACTGGTTCTAAAGCCTTAAGTGGTAACCAGTTTAGAAGAAGAAAAATTCTGAATTCAAAACTAACCTGAATAGATACTATATACATTATTCGGACTATTATCCTCATCTTTGTCGCCATGTTTATCACCATGTTTCGGCCGTTGTACGCTACGGCCTTCTTCAGGTGTTTGAAATGTCGAACTGAACCCTTTATTTCGCTCACTGGGGTAGATTATTCTAGTTACACGTGCCATGTCTAAAGGACGTCAGTTATCAGTTATCTCCTGTTAATTCCCCTCTCCAAGTTCTCCACTGCTTTTACCAGGTATTGAACTCACACTCTTTGGGTCCTGTCACTGGATCTAACTAAAGCCTTTATCCATTGTGACATGTGTCCTTGGGGACATCTGTGTAGGGATTCGGGGTATTATAAACCTAATGTCTTCAGCAACAGGTTTTTACCAGTTCTCACGTTGCAATTTTTGCTGTTATTATCGCTTTTCTCTGGGACTCCATATTACTGGATCCCATATTGTATTCATTTCTATGCTTGGTCGGCTCAGGAGATTTTTGTGGCCTAGTATATGTGCTGATTCCTTAAGTTTACAAATTTTCCAATGGTTTTTTTTAACTATGATTTCAACCTGATCCTACAGAGGGCTGTGATCTCCCTTTTCTCTCCATATGTGGTCAGCCACGACTGATTTTTCCACTTTCCCTCGTGTAACAGTATACCCCAGTTCTACGTTCCGGCCTTCTTCGGGTGGTTGTAATATCATACTGAACCGTTTATCTCGCTCACTGGGGTAGACAGTTCTATTTTCACGTGCCATATTTTTTATGGATGTTAGTTATCAGTTATCTCCTGCTAATTTCCCTCTGAAAGTTCTCCACTGCCTTAACCGGTTATTGAACTCAGACTGTTTGGGTCCTGTCACTGGATCTAACCAACGCCTTTATCCACTGTGCCATGTGTCCTCAAGGACACATGGCACATTGGAACTAAAACAGTCTACCCCAGTGAGCGAAATAAAGGGTTAAGTTCGACATTCCAACCATCTGAAGAAGGCCGAAGCATACAACGACCGAAACAAAATAATGTAAATAAGGTACATAATACCTAATCTCAGAAATATAGACAGATACTGAAGGGACGAAACATTGTAATAAATATGGATAGAAAGATGAGGACAATAGTCCGAATAATGTAAATAGTGTACATAATACCTCATCTCAGAAATATAGACAGATACTGAAGGGCCGAAACGTTGTAATAAATATGACGATAAAGATGAGGACAATAGTCCGAATAATGTAAATAGTGTACATAATACCACATCTCAGAAATATAGACAGATACGGAAGGGCCGAAACGTTGTAATAAATATGGCGACAAAGATGAGTGAGGACAATAGACCGAATACTGTAAATAGTGTACATAATACCTCATTTCAGAAATATAGACCGATACTGAAAGGCCGAAACGTTGTAATAAATATGGCAACAAAGATGATGACAATAGTCCGAATAATGTAAATAGTGTACATAATACCTCATTTCAGAAATATAGACAGATACTGAACGGCCGTATCGTTAATATAAATATGGCGACAAAGATGACGACAATAGTCCGAATAATGTAAATAGTGTACATAATATCTCATCTCAGAAATATAGACAGATACTAACCTCAATAGGTTTGGGCTGCATTAGGCTGTTTTGCTCAAGACATACGACATCTACTGCGGCTGCTGTACAGATGATAATACTACGATTTAATGAGTTACGGAACTCCTGATCCTGAGTTCTTATCCCTTGTTGAATGTTTAAAAAGAAAGTCCTTTTCAAATATATCCTGCGAGTATTAGAATATTCAATAAATCAAAAGTTCAAATGACAAATTCGAACTTCTCTTGATTTATTGACTATTGCCATATCTAGTTATCTATTTAGTGCTTTTTGGTTGAAGTTATGCTGGCCACAAAAATAAGTTAAATTCGCGTAGTTTTTTTTTTTTTTTTCTTAAATCTTTTTCCTAAGTTGTATTATGATTTTAGGTTGGGTCATAAATGATTTTTCATTTTGTTTATCCTGTTTATTCTTCGAAAATAACTTTATAACTTTATTTGTATTTGTATTTTCGATAGAAATAATCTGAAAAAAATGTTATAAAGTTTAATGTACCTCGTTTTAAGTATAGCTAAAATAACTAATGTGATTTCAGGCATTACTGTAAATCAGTTGGCAAATGTTTTCCGTGAACTGCAAAATTGTATTACCCTTTGTATTGTTAATAATGGAGGACATATGGAAACTTAAATAAAATTTCAATAAAACCTTAAAAAATATAGATTTACTTCCTTCTAATCCTTTTTAGAAATTATCTCATGCAGTCACAATATATATATATATATATATATATATATATATATATACAGGGTGTCCATAAAGTTCGTGTGCACTTCAAAAAATTTATAACTTTATTTGTATTTGCGATAGGGTAATACGATTTTGCAGTTCACGGAAAACATTTGCCAACTGATTTACAGTAATGCCTGAAATCACATTAGTTATTTTAGCTATACTTAAAACTAGGTACATTAAACTTTATAACATTTTTTACAGATTATTTCTATCGCAAATACAAATAAAGGAATAAATCTTTTAAAGTGAACACGAACCTTATGGAACCCTGTATATATACAGTGTGGAGAAAAATAGTCGTACACGTAGGGATTTTTAATTTATTGCATTTCCAATAAATGAATAAACATAATTTTCATATAATTAACTGTATACAGATGCATAATGATTAAATATGGATAGAAAACACAAAAAATGATTTAATAGTAATAAATCCCATTTATTCATTTTAATGGGTGAAAAAAGTATTCGTACAATGCAAAAAAGAATACATAATATTCATTTAATACTTTGTAGAATGGCTATTATTCACTTGTACAGCAACCAACTTTTTGTAGTTCTCAATCAATGAATTTCAAATTTTAGTTGGTATTTTGTTCCCTTCTTCTTCGCATATTGTCTTCAGATCCGGGATATTGGAACTCTAGATTGGATTTGAATTTTCAAATAACGCCACAGATTCTCGATTGGGTTTAAATCTTGGCCATTTCAGGATATTTACATTATTTTCAGCCGGCATTTCTTCGTAGATTTTGCAGTGTGTTTAGGATCATTATCTTCTTGGAAGATCCAATCAGGAGAACGTTCAAGATTTTCAACCGAAATCATGGAATTTTCTTCAAAAATATTTCGACATGGTGCGGCATTCATTCTACCATCTATTACTGATATGTTGCCAGTACCTTTTGCAGAAAAATATTCCCAAACCATGATGCTGCCACCAACAAACTACACTGTTCGAACTATGTTCTTTTTGCTTGAAGACATCGCCATCTTTCCTCCATACATTATTTCTAGAATTACGTCCAAACAACTCAATTTTGGTTTCGTCTGTCCATAATACTCTTTGCCAATACAATTTTTCCTTATCCTTATGTTCACGAACGAATTTCAAACTGACATCTCTGTCTTTTCAATAGCAGTGGATTTTGACAAGTGTTATGGCGAGCGAATTTTTTTTCCACCGTACGAGTACGAATTTCGTCACCCAACGTTATTGTGGTGAGCGATTTTTTTTCTTCCGTATGAGGACGAATTCCTCGTCGCCAAATAATGTTGTGGCGAACGAATTTTTTTTTCTTCCGTATGAGTACGAATTCCTCGTCGCCAAATAATATTGTGGCGAGCGATTTCTTTTTTCTTCCGTATGAGTACGACTTCCTCGTCGCCAAATAATGTTGTGGCGAACGAATCTTTTTTTCTTCCACTGTATGAATTCGAATCTTCGTCGCCAAATAATGTTGTGGAGTAATTTCACAGTGGAGGCTTGTATTTGTACTAAGTCGGTCCTAAAATAGGTTCGACGTACAAAACGTTAGGAACTTTGTTTCGCCAATATCCTGAAGGAACACAAGAAGAAGAAGAAGAAGAAGAAGAAGAAGAAGAAGAAGCTTGTGTATATGAGTGGCGGAACAATATTTAAGAGAGATAACAAAAAGACAAAGGTATGAAATTGTGGAGAGCCATGATCGCCAACCTCCTAAAGAGACATGTCATATAGAAGAAGAAGAAGAAGAAGAAGAAGAAGAAGAAGAAGAAGATATTCTTATTGTTATGTCTTCTTTATTCTTCTTTCTTTTTCGCATTTTTTCATCTCCAAATTTGCGTGACTGAAGGTAAAAATATTAAATTTATTCTGTTTAATTTCACTTCACGTGAATCCTTAAAATCTTATTATTGCAGGATTTCAAAATTTCTCACAATAACTCATTTCAAATTTCGAATGACAGGTTTTCAAGTATTTGAGCAGTAAATGTATCTTTAAAAAAATGAAGACTATTATTTAAAAGCCGAGTCCTTCCTCTCGAAGTACACGCACCTCCCTCCAAACCATAAACTTATTAAAATTTGGGAAATGATACAAATAAACAATAATTTTCTACATAGAAATGCCTGTAATTTTATTTGAAATTTTAGCTTATCGCTAATTAGCTATTAGCAGAGTTGTTAATTATCATGTATCATCAAGGAAGCCATAATGGGAACTTCGCATTATTTTTATTTCGAGCGCTTTTAAAAATCACATGTCAGGAATCAGTTATATATTTCTCTCTTTCTCTCTATGTATCCCTCTTTCTCTCTTTCTCTCTATCTATCCCTCTTTCTATCTATCTCACAATCACTATTTCTTTCTTTCTCTCCCTTCTTCATTCTTTCTTTCTTTCTTTGTCATTCTTTCTTCCTTTCGATTTCTTTCTTTCTTTCCCTCTCTCCCCTCTCTGCTCTCTCTTTCTTTCTCTCTCTCAATCTTTCTTTCTTTCTCTCTCTAACTCTTTCTTTCCTTCCCTCTTTCTCCCTCTCACACTCTTTCTTTCTTTCTTTCTTTCTTTCTTTCTTTCTTTCTTCCCCTCTCTGCTCTTTCTTTCTTTCTCTCTCTCTCTCAATCTTTCTTTCTTTCTCTCTCTAACTCTTTCTTTCCTTCCCTCTTTCTCCCTCTCTCACTCTTTCTTTCTTCCTTTCTTTCTTTGTTTCCCTCTCACACTCTTTCTTTCTTTGTTTCCTCCGCTCTCATACTTTCTTTCTTTCTCCCTCTTTCTTTCTTTCTTTCTTTCTTTCTTTCTTTCTTTCTGTCTGTCTGCTTGTCTCTATCTCTTTCTTTCCTTCCCTCTTTCTCCCTCTCTCAATCTTTCTTTCTTTCTTTGTTTCCCTCTCTCACTCTTTCTTTCTTTATTTATTTGTTTCCTCCGCTCTCACACTTTCTTTCTTTCTCTCTCGCTCTTTCTTTCCCTTTCTCTCCCTTTCTCATTCTTTCTTTCTTTCTGTCTGCCTCTCTCTCTCTCTCTCTCTCTCTCTCTCTCTGTGTCTTTATTTCCCTCTTTATCACCCTTTCTTTCTTCCTCTTTTCTTTCTTTCTCTCTCTCTCTCTCTCTCTCATTTGATCACGCAGTTTCTCTCATTCCCTGACAATTTTTTTATTTGTTATTCTCTAATTTCTTCAGATTAATTCCTCTTTGCTAATCAGGCTTTTCGTCCGGTTCCCTCTCCTCCTCCCTTCCATTCTTTCATTCATTCTCACGTTTTCTCTCACACCCCTCACTCTTTTTTCTATTCTCTAATATGTCGATTACTCCCCCCCTCTCTCTCTCTCTCTCTCTCTCTCTCCGTTTCTTTCTTTTATTTACACTCACAATCTCTCACATTCATCCTCATCTCTCTCTATCTCCCCTTTATCTCCTCTCTCTCTCTCTCTCTCTCTCTTCAGCTTTCTTACATTTTCTATTTTGTTATTCTCTAACCTTTCGATTAAATCCCTCTGCTTACTGACCTTTCGACTCTCTCTCCCATTCTTTCTCTCTCTCGATCTTTCTCTCTCACTCTCACTCACTCACTTTCTCTCTCTCTCTCTCTCTGTTTCTTTCTCTCTTTCACTCTCATAATTTCTCCCATTCCGTCCCTCACTCTTCAGCTGTCTCTGTCTTTCCATTTTACATTCTCTAATGTCGATTCTTTCCCCCTTTTCTTATTAGGCTTTTCAATTCTTTTCCACTACCGCTCTCTTGCCATCTAATTTTTTGCTATGTATATATCTATCTATCTATCTATCTATCTATCTATACTAGCCACCCTCCACACGAACCAAACTTGGTGAGAGAACTGATTTAGTTGCCGATAACCCGACTAAACGGCAAGTAGTACTGGGTTACATAATACCAGTAGTACTAATCAAATGATATGAAGCCTTGGAAATGTGATGTGCTTGAAAGCATGCTGTTGTCGAGGGCAGGTTATGTAACGAATCTGAACGGTCACTATAACTACCGGAAGCAAGCCAACTATACGAAGCTACCTCATTGTCCTGCCAAAACTACTTGTGTTGTTTACAACAAGGTTTATAGATCATCAAATGGACTGAGAGTGCACATGGTGGTATACAGTTGATGCTATATATATATATATATATATGGGTAAATTTTATGACAGTGGAAAAAGATTACTTATGACGCGTTTCATTTTTCAGGCCTTCATCGGACTAATTTAGTTATATTAACAGGACACCCCGTGCGCCCGGCAGAGGGTTCCACAGCAGAGGAGTGTTGGGAATTTTCATAATTTTGAGAATTTTTCCAGTTGACTTCATTTAGATTGTTTTTCTTTTTTTTCTTTCCATCACTTTTGTTAGTAGGTATTCCACACTGTGATATTAGAAGCTCTGCCAGGAATGGTGAAATGTTGTATGAGCAAGGCCGAAAGTTTACTGTAGATGACTTTGCGACTAATGCATTCGCTAGACATTTGTGTCATATTGAATTATTTTTCTCCTTTGATCATAGTGGCATTTTTTATGCCAAAGTTGTGGTCAGTCTCGTTACCGTAAGCAACCAATGCATTTGACATATTATTTTATAAAGTGTCCCTTTTGTGTTCATATAATCTTTTATTTAGATTCCTTGAGGTTTCTCCTATGTATTTTTTGTGACAATTATTAAAGGCAATGAAGTAAACACCTCCTTCGGATGTTAGCTTATTGTTTTGTTTAGTACTAATTCTTCTATCATTTTGATGTGGTAGTATCGACTTTTATGTTGAGTTTAGATAGATTCTTTTCGATTGTAGATGTGATAGAATTAGTAGGCAGGATAATATATATTTTAATTTATTGGGTTTCTCAGGCGTTTCTTTGTTTTGGAATATTTGGTGGGCCTTTTGTTTCGAATTGAATATAAAATAGATAGCTACTGGAGAACTTTGAAAATGTCTTCAATGTATTTCTCTTTTTCATGTAAATAATGTGGGCTGCATATTCTTAGAGCTCTCAGGTAGAATCCGATGATTATGCTGGATTTTATTTTGTTTTTATGACGGCAATAGAAATTTATTAGGTTGTTTTTGTCGGTTGATTTCCTGTGGACACCGAGTTTTAAAATCTTGTTAATACTGTCAACTTCTATATATATATATCTATATCTTGCTAATACTGTTATATATATATATATATATATATATATATATATATATATATATGGGTATATGTGTGTGTATGTGTGTGCACGCCTATATGTATATATGTACGTGTATATATTATTGTGTATGTGTGTATACGCATGTGTTTTTGAACATAGAAATATAGGCCCTTGCTAGATTAGATAATCGTTATATTTATTTTTTATATCTTTATATTTGATTTGTAACCTGTAGTCGATATTAATTTTGTCAAATTTTCTTAATTACACATCGGTCCTTTTATAAATGCCTTTCGGTTTTAGTTCCCCCCGCCCTATCTCTCTCCCCCATCCCTTTTCTTTTCTCACTCATCTTCTTATCTTTAAGATTAGATCGTCTATTGTGTGTGTATGTCACCACAAAATGTATCCTTTCCGGTGACATCATTAATGTATTAGACATCCGACAACATTCATATTTCTCTCACTTAAACCATCTTTCATTTCCGGAGTTGTTTTTTCTGTTTTCTTTTTGAATTTGTAGGTCTGATGAATTGGATCGTATTTACGATTCCAATGTAACAAATTATGACCATGGAATAGTGTTTAATCCTTTTTTATTATATATATATATATATATATATATATATATATATATATATATATATATATATATATATAAGAGGTCAGATTGTCTGGTCTCTTAACTGAGTACATTTGAACCTAAGTAAATTATTATGATGGTTTACAAAAAAAAAAAAAATCTTTTCCCTATTTACATTTCCAAGATGAACGTTTCCATAATCCTCCAACCACCTTTGTCACCTAGCAATCTAAAACTATCCCTCAAAAAATTGTATTAAAAATAAAAGAAACCTAATTCTTTTGTAACTAGAGATGTGACCTGATGAACCAGGAAAAATATATTTTCTGGGGAAATAAATTATAGTCATGGAAACTTAAGGTTGTTTATTTTTTAATTATTTAATTAATATTTGCTCTGGTTTTACATTGAGCTCTTTTTTATATTCAATTCGAAACAAAAAGCCCACCAAATATTCCAAAACAAAGAAACGCCTGAGAAACCCAATAAATCAAAAAATCACATCCTCTTTGGAATTATCCACCCTTCATTAGCTCATATATATTAAAACAGATAATCCTAAGGAGCCAGGCAAAACTACTTAGGTTTCACCTAAAAGGATAGTCATGTTAATGCCAGCTGGTGAGGGAAATTATGGGACCGAATTTATAGCTAAAACCAAAAATAACTATGGCCCCGTGACAAAAAAATAAAAAATAATTAAATAAAAATAAAATTGTAAATAAAGCCGAACAATGGGGAGGGGCTGTACTTTATTGAACAACAATCCTAAGGAGCCAAGCAAACCTACCTAGCTTTCACCTCAACGGATCGTTCGGTAATGCCAGCTGAAAAGGGAAATTATGGGACAAAATTTATTGCTAAAACCAAAAATAACTATGACCACGTGACAAAAAAAATAAAAATTCAATAAAAAAAATAAAATTATAAATAAAGCCAAACAACGTGGAGTATTTAATTTATTGAACAACAAAAGACAAATTAAATAAATAAATTTATAAATAAAGCCAAACAATGTGGTGGGTTATACTTTATTGAACATCAAAAGACAAAAAAAAATAAATAAATAATATAAAATTATAAATGAAGCCAAAACACGAGGGGGTGGGGGGGTTATACTTTATTAAACAACAAAAGACAAAAAAATTAAAAAATTAAAAAAAATAAAATTACAACTAAAGCCAAACAATGCAGCGCGATGTACTTTATTGAACAACAAAAGATAAAAAAAAACTACTCTCTCTATATATATTCAGGTAAATCAGTATTATATTAGTTATATTAGTAGTGCATCACCAATATAACGAATGTATGTTGGTTGTTTAGTTAAAATGTTTTGGAAATGACCAGTGCCATTTCACTACTGAGAGGCCATACCATTGGTTAATACAATTTTTTCTTAGTAACAATTCAATCGGCAACAAAACACAAACATTATTTAAGTTGTCTATGCTTTTTCAAATGTTTTAGGAAAATTTTTTACCGCTGAATCCGAAAATGACTTCCATTTCTTTCAATCAAGTCATGTTTTTGTGCTGAGTTGAGTTTTAAAAATCCGATCTTCCGACTAAATCGATTAAATTTCTCTGACGCTATTGATTGAATTTGGTTAATATTTCACATACGAAATAAGTTTTTAGGAGAAAAAATATATTCTAACACAATTTATTAATTAAATTTTACATCATCGATTACAATAAATTGAATAGTATGTATTGACAGTTAGAAGAACATGTAAATTGCAGCTTACGTCATCATAGTTCAAAGTTCAGGGCATGAAATTCCGTTTCTTTGAAACCTTAGAATGATCAACGGCAGGGGTGTCTCTCTTCAAAATCCAGCAGTAATCCGCCATCATGACTGCATCCCAGTGTCGCTTATATACTGGCCTACGAAAATGTTTTAGCCAGAAGAAATAAGCTACATCCAAATTCAAAATTTAATTACATAATCCCAACTCAACATAAATAAACAGTATTTGGAACTAGTATAGAGTAGGTCCTCCATTTGATAGTTTCAGTGCTTGTATTCCATTTTTCATGGATTTGATCCAAGTTATCAACAATCATTTGTTCCATATTTTGCCACTCCTTTAGCAATGTTTCTTTAAGGGTTGCCACTGACGGGATTTTGTTTGCAGGCTCTCGAAGTTTTCGGTCAAGATGCTCCCAAACGTGGGACTTTGGGCTACCCATAGCAGTGACTTGATTCATGCAATTTCTTCCAGACCTTTGCTACACTGCTAGTATTACATGGCGCTCCATCTTCTTGAAAAAGGTAGGCATTCTTGTCTATCTGATTAGTTTCAAATAGTGGGAGTATTCCTTTATCGAATATTTGAGAGAATTTTGAACCATTCAACAAGAATCAACTCAGATTACCCTCCAAACCAGACAACACCCCACACCATTACTCCAATC